CCTTCTTGTCTCTCTCTTTCTCCCCCCTCCTTGTCTCTCTCTTTCTCCCCCCTCCTTGTCTCTCTCTTTCTCCCCCCTCTTTGGACTCGGCCACGCTACAGGGAGGGAGTGACAGGAGGGAGCGCCTTCATGATGGCTCACTGAGCCGAGATAGCAGCCTGAAGATGATGAGTATAGTGATGCCCCAGGTGGACCAGAATAACCCCTCCAGTCCAAAAAGGGGGAGAGAACAGGGGCTGCGTTTCAGGAACTCAGACAGACTGGATGCACAGCTCCATGTTTGGCGAAAACCAAATACTGCACATGAGTACAAACATCTACACTTTGGGCTTGTCTGTCATTGTTCCAGAAGTCTTGTAATTTGTTCAGATGCAACTTTGCAAACATAAACCATGCTGCAATGTTCTTTTATAGAGAAGAGGCTTTCTCCTGGCAACATCATAAATGTTCACTCTTTTTCTTATTGTACTGTCATGAACCTCAACATTTAAAATGCTAAGTGAGGCCTGTAAAGTCTGAGATGTAATTCATGGTTTTTTTGCAAATTCACAGAGCATTTCACAGTCTGACCTTGGGGTGAATTTATGGAACGTCCACTCCTGGGAAGATCGGCAACTGTCTTTCCACTTTTGAATATTCTTTCTCACTGCAGAATGATGGATTTTAAATTGTTTGGAAATGGCCTTATAAACCTTCTCAGTTTGATGGACAGCAACAAATGCTTCTCTAAGATCACTGATGATGTCTTTCAAACCTGAATGCTCCAGACCAGCAAACTTCAGCACACTTGCTGCTGATGATCTATATTACTTAACGGCATTTGATAAACAGCACCTGTCTGCTACTTGGCCTCTTCATTCAAATGGAAGCAATAAGGGTGTACTTAGTTTTTCACACATGACTTCTTCATTTTGGCTTTATTTTGGTTAAAAAAACACTGTGTAATATGACATGTGTTGTTGTTTATCTGAGGTTGTACTTACCTAATTTTAAGAGATGCTAAGGAACAGATGTTTATACCCTGATAAGTAAACCATACTATTCAAAACAGGTGTACTTTCTTTTTCACATCCCATACATACATATATATATATATATATATATATATATATATATATATATATATACATATATATATATATATATATATATACATATATATATATATATACACACACACACACACAAATTATATATATATTTTTTATTTTATTATTTATATAGCGCCATCAGGTTCCGTAGCGGTGTACAATGGGTGGACTAACAGACATGTCATTGTAACCAGACAACTGGACGTACAGGAACAGAGGTGGTGGGCCCTGCTCAATGAGCTTACATTCTAGAGGGACTGGGGTATAGTGACACAAAGGGTAAAAGTAGGGGTATGAAGTAGGTTGTTCGAAAAGTATTCACTGAGGGCTTAGTAGGTAATTTTTGACAGTTGCAGGAGAGGAGTCATGGGGGGTGGGGGATAAAAACCTGCTAAGAGTTTAATTTATATGCTTAATTTATATGCTTTCTTTTTCAATGATTTTTGAATGAGTGGAGACTGGGTAAAAGTCTTACGTCAGGGGTTCTCAACCCAGTCCTTAAGGACCCCCTACCAGTCCAGGATTTAGGGATTACCCTGTTTTTTTAAAAGTGTTTGTTCCCCTCCTCCCCCCTCCCCCAAAAAAAAAACACATTAGACACAGCAGGGTAATCCCTAAATCCTGGACAGTTCGGGGGTCCTTCAGGACTGGTTGAGAACCTCTGTCTTCCAGAGAAGGGAAGGGAGTTCCACAGAAGAGGTGCAGAACTGGAGAAATCTTGGAGGCAAGCATCAGAGTTGGGAGTACGGACAGAGGATATACGTAGGTCTTTTTAGATATATATATATATATATATATATATATATATATATACACACACACACACACACACACTGCTCAAAAAATAAAGGGAACACAAAAGTAACACATCCCAGATCTGAATTAATTAAATATTCTTCTGAAATACTTCTTTACATAGTTGAATGTGCTGACAACAAAATCACACAAAAATTAAAAAATGGAAATCAAATTTTTCAACCCATGGAGGTCTGGATTTGGAGTCACACTCAAAATGAAAGTGGAAAAACACACTACAGGCTGATCCACCTTTGATGTAATGTCCTTAAAACAAGTCAAAATGAGGCTCAGAAGTGTGTGTGGCCTCCACATGCCTGTATGACCTCTCTACAACGCCTGTGCATGCTCCTGAGGTGGCAGATGGTCTCCTGAGGGATCTCCTCCCAGACCTGGACTAAAGCATCTGCCAACTCCTGGAAGGTCTGTGGTGCAACGTGACGGTGAATGGAGCGAGACACGATGTCCCAGATGTGCTCATTTGGATTCAGGTCTGGGGAACGGGCCGGCCAGTCCATAGCATCAATGCTTTCATCTTGCAGGAACTGCTGACACACTCCAGCCACATGAGGTCTAGCAGAGTCTTGCATTAGGAGGAACCCAGGGCCAACTGCACCAGCATATGGTCTCACAAGGGGTCTGAGGATATCATCTCGGTACCTAATGGCAGTCAGACTACCTCTGGCAAGCACATGGAGGGCTGTGTGGCCCCCCAAAGAAATGCCACCCCACACCATTACTGACCCACTGCCAAACTGGTCATGCTGTAGGATGTTGCAGGCAGCAGAACATTCTCCATGGCGTCTCCAGACTCTGTCACGTGCTCAGTGTGAACCTGATTTCATCTGTGAAGAGCACAGGGCGCCAGTGGCGAATCTGCCAATCTTGGTGTTCTCTGGCAAATGCCAAACGTCCTGCACGGTGTTGGGCTGTAAGCACAACCCCCACCTGTGGACGTCGGGCCCTCATAGAGTCTGTTTCTGACCATTTGAGCAGACACGTGCACATTTGTGGCCTGCTGGAGGTCACTTTGCAGGGCTCCTCCTGTTCCTCCTTGCACAAAGGCAGAGGTGGTGGTCCTGCTGCTGGGTTGTTGCCCTCCTACGGCCACCTCCACGTCTCCTGATGTACTGGCCTGTCTCATGGTAGCGCCTCCATGCTATGGACCAAAACATCAGCCAGGAAGCATAGGAACTGAGAAGTGGTCTGTGGTCACCACCTGCAGAACCACTCCTTTATTGGGAGTGTCTTGCTAATTGCCTATAATTTCCACCTGTTGTCTATCCCATTTGCACAACAGCACGTGAAATTGATTGTCACTCAGTGTGCTTCCTAAGTGGACAGTTTGATTTTTTTGAGCAGTATATATATATATATATATATATATATAAATAAATACATACACTGTTTAATTTCCCCTCCCTCTGATTACCTTGGGGCAGGAAGGGGCATCAAGAAAATCCTTCGTGGACCAGTGTGGATAACATCTGGTCTCTCCCTTTCCTGGCATCTCCCGACTTCGTTTCAGAGCATTGCCCTGGTAACCTGCAGCAATGCTCTGATCTGTCTCTAGCTCACAGGAGCCATAAACCGGCTCTCTAAACTCCCCCTTTCACCGTACAGTGGAGGCAATGGGCCGGTGACAGAGATCTCCCTAAAGAGGCATCCCTCTACATGGGGCAGTGGTGAGCATTTTCAGGTAATGCCACCAGCCCTGCATAGCGTGAAGATAATCTGTGTCTATACGGCCATGAATATTCAATAATATTGACCAGTGAATTTTCATACACCCTTCTTTTTTTGGTCTCTTCTTCTTGCATAATTTTACCTAGAAGAGATATCCTTGTACTTTGGCTTTTTTGTTTTGTGCATAGAAAGTGGAAGAGGTTAACACAGTAAAGGAGTTTAAGCATACGTGGGACAGGCATAAGGCTATCCTAACTATAAGATAAGGCTAGGGACTAATGATAGTATTTAGAAAATTGGGCACACTACATAGGCTGAATGGTTCTTATCTGCCGTCACATTCTATGTTTCTATAAGTTTGTTTGATTGAAGATTTTATTTGTCGCTTGCATGTTCTTGTTTTAAGAAAGAGAAATTAATATAGTGAATATGTAAACATAATAAAAATCCTAGGATCTGGCAGTTCCATTCTAAAGGAAACTTGGAAGACCTGATTTCCAATGTGCATATACCTGCAAGGAAGAAGGGACAAAAATGTGTATTTGAAGCCGGGTAATGCTAAAAGATGGTAGACACATGGCTGTATTATGCAACAAATAAATGTTTTTTCCCCCTTACCTTTAATGCATGCCCCAACCCAGTACACATGGCAATGGCATTTTCTGGGCTGAGTAAAAAAAAAAAAATATATATATATATATATATATTATTTAATCATGATGAATCAAAAAGAAAGTGTGCTGCAAAGCTGGAGGGAAAAAAGTCAGTATTAAATAATCTGCCTATTATTTAGACCAGATCATGTCTTTTTTTTTTTTCGCTGGTCAGGGTGCAATGCAGTGAAAGGTAGATTTATTTGATATTGTCCTTCAGGGCCACTATCTTCTTCTAGGGAAACTATCTCCTGAAGCCACGTGAGTACAACAATGAGGTCTATGAAGAATACCATTAGGTGGAATGCTGCCTTTTGCCAACCTTTGTCTTATGGCATCTTTGGAGTGATTGATACTCAGAAGTCACCAAGCCAATTTAAAGACATGCATTCTCTATGTAGGTGTGTAAGTAAGTTTATATTGTCAGTACATCGCCGTGTTAAAAGAAACCTGCAATCACATAAAACAGTTCAACTTGCTGAAGTACTTTATGTGTAATTTTTTTTTTTTTTTTTTGGTCACAAAAGTGCAGATTTCAATAGAAATTTACACTTTTAGAAATGAACCTTCTTGGAACTAAACTTCAGAAGCATTTAATTGCATGGAGCATCCACCTTGCAAAGACTACTATAATAGTTACTGAGAAGTCTAATTAATCAGCCACAAAACAACTGGGAGATGGAAGAGGTAGAGGATTTGCAGTGGCTGCAAATACAAGATATGCAGCTGTTATAAGCCAATATTTCCTATTTCCACAAAAACATGCAAAACAAATGCCATATATATTATTTTATTTTTGTGTGTTTCATCCTTTTGTCTATATTGTGGGAGATAAGAGATGTGGATGATTTTATGTGTTGCTTTATTTTTGCAGCCACAATGCATCAGAAAAAGCTTGAAAAAGGGTAAATGACAGAAGAGAGAAGTCAGAGTGCGATCCAACTGGAGGAGAGTAGTGCATAAGCATAAAACCATCAAACTTGAGGACATATACACTATATAGTTTACACTGAATAAATCAGGTATCTCTGTGATATAGGATATCTTGATGGTATTTGGGGGTGATTCATATTAAAGTGAATCTGTTGTGACAGGTTCACATTAACATCTTTTGCAAAGCCCCGTACAGAGGCAAAGTGAATGATTAGGCTTAAAAGGAACACTCCAGAACATAAAACACTGCTTTGTGTGCCTGGAGTCTTATTTGACAGTTTATAAATGTGCCAATTTCAGAGATAATAGAAGTGGCAGGAGCATGCCTGACCTTTGCCAATTCTCTATGAGAAGCCTACGTCTGGTAAATTCATTGACCAAGCTTAAAGGTACACTATTGGCACCAAGACCACGTCATCTCTTTGAAGTGGTTTGGGTAATGTGTACCAATGTCCTGCAATGTAAAACATTGCAATACTAAGACTACCTCTAGTGGCTGTCTAGCACACAGCCACTATAGGCACTTCCTGGGCTTTCACAGAATTTGACTTTGTGAAACAACATCTGGGCGACCTCACACTCTGCATGAGGATATCCATCAAGGAAAATCCCACAGGAAAGCATTTAGGTCACCACCAGCGGCTGACTGAGGGACATGGAAAGGTTACTTAACCCTTTACAATGGTGCGGGGCCACAAGAGCAGAGGAATAAGTTAGTTAGGAATGCATCTTCGTATTCCTAACACTAAAGTGTTCCTTTATAGTCTGTGTTGGGGAATGAAGAGAAGGAAAAGCTGCAGCAAAGAAAACATGCAAAAAAAATAACAGCAGGTTTTCTTTGGGGTATATTAAATAGTAAAAAAAAAAAATCATCAAATCTGTGAGTGACCTATTTCATTTATTGTCTTTAAAAAAAAAAAAATAAAAAAAAAAAAAATCTACTCCAGCATTCCCCAACGGAGGACATAAAATAAAACAAATCATTTGAGAGAATGTGTGTCTTTCATTCAGTGAGTATTGGTACTTTAATATAGAAGGTATGTTCATGGTCACAAAAAGCCAAAGTTAAAAAAAAGTATTTGCAAAAGTTAAATGCCCAGGAAATCTGGTTCTAGTCATCTTTAGGTGTAAATTTAAAGGAACACTAGTGTCTGAAATACAAACATCTATTCGTGACATAGTGCTAAACTATCCCCCCCAGTCGCATCTTTTTTCTCCATGGCAGTCTCCACCTGGGTGAGATTATGAATCTTGATCTCAACCAATCAAATGTTTTCACACAGGAAAGCATTGGGAGGATATAGTGCAACTGCTCATAGAGATACATTTAATCAATGAATCTTTATGAAAGTTCAGCACCTCTATGCAGGGCATGAAGATGTTGAATGTAGGTTCTGCACCCTGTCATCTGAGTGACTGCCACAAGGAGTGTTTTAAACCAAAAATAAAAAAAAAAGTGTGGTCACTGCCAAAACATATATACACACAGACCAGGGCTCAACAAATTCCAGGCGCCACAGCAACTATAAATTTCGCCTTGGCCCTGGTATGTCAGCCCTGTCATTAAAGCAGGCACCCGACGGAGCATTAAAGCTGGCCGCAGCAGGGAACACAGATCCCGGCCGCCCTGGTGAGCATGGAGGCAGCCGACTCAGGGGTTACATTGGCCATATTCTTTATACAGATGAGGCAGCGTGGGGGCTGCCCACCGACGGGAGTATTGCAGCGTGCAAGGGAGCAGTAATCTACTTGCAGCTCCTCTCTGCGCTCTCACGCACTGTAATGATGTCGGGAGCCAGAATATGATCTCTCCAGCCCCCCTACAGTGAGCGTGAGGGAGCAGAGGAGCTGCAGGCAGATTCCTGCTCCTTAGCACACAGGAAAAGAGCAGACTGCAGGGGAAGGAGGCTTTCAGTTAAAATAAAAATGTCAGTATGAGAGCATGTGTATCAGTGTCTGTACATGCCCCATGCACTCCGACCGCACAAAAAAGTTTTTTACTCCCCTTTTATCCCACACCATAGCTGGTCCTGCAACCATTGCTGAGATCATCTATCTTTATGATCTCAGCTAAGCCGATAATTTCCTATTGGAAAGCATTGGGAAGATATTGTGCATGTGCAGCGAAACTGCATCTCCGCATAGAGATGTTTTGAATCAATGATATCTATGCGGAACATTAAACGCCTCCAAGCAGAGCGTGGAGACGCTGAACGTAGGTGCTGCAAACAGTGTTTAAAATGAAAGGTCTGCAGGTACAGGCTATGGACATCAGAATAACTATTAAGTTGTAGTGGCTCTTGTGTCTATAGTGTCCCTTAAGTATTGTATTTTTCTGGTTTAAAACTAAACTTAATTTTAATTTTTTTAAAACTGGTTCCTAGATTCTAAACAAATGTCAAGCCCTGATATAAAATTCACTTAGTGCAGCAAAATGTAACAAGAGGTAACACGCAGCTTAGTAGAACAGGCCCACTTGAGGAACAACACTAATCGAAAAGCATAAGAAAGACAAATTTTATGATCTGTATACCTTGCTTAGTGTACAAATCAAGGGCATTTGTACACTGAGGAAGGGACAGAGTGCCCAAAACATTCTTTGTATAAAAAAAAAAAAAAAGTGGTTCCACAAGTGGTCGTTTGCTGTTTATATACCTCCTGTTTTTGTAAAGTGTTACTAGGCAGCGATGTTTACATTGCCTTTTCCTAAAGGGACAGACTTTAGACACCAGAACTGTACCACTAAACTGTAGTGGTTCTTGTAACTATGGTGTCCCTCTAAGATCTGTTTTTATTATTAAAGACAGTTTAGTTTTAATAAAAAATTGTTTTTAAAAAGGGCTTTTTATTAAGCAAGTCTCCTACATTCAAAGCAAAATTTGTCAAGCAATGGCATAAATACCTATATGACTGCCAGGGAGGTTCTCTTAGGTTTCTGTTATCTCTAGAGAGTTAACAGCAGGGCTTCAAGGACCAGGTGGTGATAGACAAAAAAAAAAAAAAATATATATATATATATATATATATATATATATATATATATACATATACATATACATAATAGTATCAACAACTTGCTGAAAAGTTTTTTTTAGCTCAAAATAGAACACTTTAGTCACCAGGACCACTACAGCTTAAAGGGACACTATAGGCACACAGACCACTTCAGATCATTGAAGTGGTCTGGGTGCAGTGTCCCTTTTGCACTTAGTGCTGCAGTGTTTACATTGGAGCACTAAATCTGCTTTCCGTGGCTGTCTACCAGACAGCAGCATCCAAACTGACCAAGAGGACATCCATCAGATTTTTTTTCTAATGCATGACATTTGTCTGGCACGTCCATTAGCACCTACACATCACAAAACGTAGGAGGAGCGGAGCATCAAACCAGCACCAAGGGACATCAGCGCTAGGATAAGGGAAGTAAATAGAAGGGTTCTTAACCTTTTATTTAATGTAGGGGGAAGGGGTGCGAGGGAGGAGGAAGCAATTTCATTATTGGGGCGCTAATTGACTAGTGCAGGCATAGGCAACCATCGGCACTCCAGATATTGTGGATTACATCCCCCAAGGATGCCTGCAGTAGTCCATTAGCTCCACAGTATTGCTGTAAACAAAATAACGCCTCTCTGGCTGAAGGTTTACTACGCCGGGACTAGTGTGCCTGCCTTCCACACTTCTCAATAAGCTGTACTGCAGCTCATTGAGAAGCATTGGAAAGCTGCAATCAAGTGCGCATTCAACTCCAGCACAGAGGCTTCTCAACGAAAAGCCTCTGATTTGTGTATTCCTTGGAACTGACAGTGCTGGCGAGAAAGGGAAGAGGCTTGTAAAGGCTGCAGCAGACAGTAGGGGGATTCATGCATGCAATGTCGGTATATTGACTGAATTGTGAAAAATATTGTCAATGAGGTGTCAACTTCTAAAGCACCTCACTAAGCTGAATGATTTAGGAACTTAGAGGGTAATTTTAAAATACTTTGATTGCATTCTGAAAATCCAAAAAATAAACTAGTTATTTTACGAGAAGTTCATAGACCAATATAAAAACAATATTTTTTTATAAATTAAGCTTGATACATCCCCTACCTAGTTTAAGTCAGTGGTTCCCAACCCAGTCCTCGAGTACCCCCCTAATAGTCCAGGATTTAAGTATTACCCAGTTGTGTCTACGGTGAGGTGTTTCAGAATTTTTTTTTAAATTTGATTTAAAAAAAATAAAATAAAATTGTACAACAGGGTAATCCATAAATCCCAGACTGATAGGGGGTACTTGAGGACTGGATTGGGTATTGAGAAGACTGACTGGACTGCCACAAAAGGTGTGGGCTGAATAAAAATGGAGGACTTGTAGACAGATGTGTAGTTTTCGCAAGCGGTTTTAGATATAATCGCAATGGCAAATTTTTTTTATAAATAATGAAATGCAGATATGCTTCCATTCTGAGAATATCTACTAAATATTGTTTATTTGCGCAATGGAGTGACCCTTCTATATGGGGAGCAGGCAGGCTGCACTTTCTATGCATTAACACATACAAGGTCCACTTCCACAGTAAAGCACACCACGGTTGGCTAACAAAAAATATATATCATTAAACCCTGAAAACTTCGTAATAAGAAGGAACCACAGAAAAAAAACATGTACCATTAGTTTTTGTTCTGGATTTCCAGTTTATAGATTATCCTGTACACGTTATTTTTATTCCCCGCTGTGACTACAATTGCCATATACAGGTAATTTCTACAGTAAAACCATTATCAAGTGAGTGAACATGAATTTTTTTTTATCATGGAACAAGAAAAATGAGGGTAAACACACTGATACATCAACATTCAGCTTCAGCAAACTTTCCTACAATCTATGAATGATTAGGATCGTGAGAAACAAGAATAAAAAAGTGTATTAGACCTGAAGTCATAAACAATGATTTATTTAAAAAGGCAAAACGATGTACAATAAAGTTGTATTATGTAAGGAGCCAGACAGGCTACATTAATGGAGAAACAAAACAAAAAAGGGAAACTTTCACAAATTAAACTCCCTCTTGTTTTCATCACCTTTCAGGGTTTAAGGATAAAAAAAAGTCAAATATGGGCAGATGTGTATTTTTTTTCCCACTACTAACTTGTAGTTTCAGTCTGCACTAAGTATAAAAACGACCAAGGTTCAAATAGTCCCACGTGACAAACAAAAAAGAAGAGATTTTTTTTTAAAAAAATGGAGTCAGTCTACTTTGCGTTCTCCCATTTTTACCCCGGCCCGATCTTTAAAACGAGCCGCCGCCACCATAAGAATTTCCTCCACCGTAGCCTCCGCTGCCGTAGCCCCCACCCCCATAGCCCCCTCGGTAAGGGCCTGCACTGCTGCTACTGCGCCCCCAGCTGCCGCTGTTTCCGGCCGTTTTCATGGGGCCGTACGATGACGGGTGCTGAGTGTAACTGCCGAAGCTATTGTAGCCATTACCGTATCCTCCTCCTCCGCCTTGCTCGCCGTATCCCCCGTACATGCTGTAGCTCTGGCTGGGAGCACCGTAACCTCCGAACCCGCCTTTGCCGCCACCGGGAATGCCATTGAGGTCTCGGGATCCTCCGCTGCCGGCACCGCGGCCTCTCCCGCCGCCTCCTCCTCCTCCTCTGCCACCGCGGAAAGTCTTAGAGGGGCCGGACTGAATGTCCTCCTTCGGTACCGCTTTCTTCACCTCCACGCGGAGCCCGTTGATTGGGTGGAATTTGACCACGGCGGCCTTGTCGGCAGAGTCGTGGTCCTCGAAGTAGACAAACCCGAAGCCGCGTTTCTTGCCGGACGTTTTGTCAGCGATGATCTCGGCTTTCTCCACCTTGCCGAACTGTGAGAAGTGCTGGAACAAGTCGTCTTCGTCGACCCCCTCCTTCAGGCCGCCGATGAAGAGCTTCTTCACCTTCGCGTGGGCTCCGGGCTTCACCGAGTCCTCCCGGGAGACGGCGCGCTTCAGCTCGACATTGCTGCCGTCCACCACATGCGGGGAGGCTCCCATGGCTGCGTCTGCCTCTTCGGCATTGGAGTACGTGACGAAGCCGAAGCACCGGGAGCGTTTGGTTTGCGGGTTCACCACCACCACACAGTCGGTAAGCTGTCCGTAGGTCTCGAAGTGCTCCCGCAGGCCCTCTTCGGAAGTCTGCACGTTAAGCCCTCCGATAAATAACTTGCACAGCTGGGAGGTATCCATAGCGGCTCCGTCTGCTTTCACACCAAGTCGAAATGATTTGATTTGAGACCTGGATTCGGCCTTCTTAATAACTGGGCCGGGTCGTCTCAAACAGAGGGAAGGGGAGAGAGAAAGCGACTGCAGGTCGTGCTCCTTACGTCACAAAGGCCTTCGTCAATCTCTTCCGACCGTGTTAACCGGAAGTGGGAGTGACCATGCCGCGTCTCTCCAACGTGTGCTCTCATTGGCTGCTGTAAGGGACCGTTGGTTGGAAGGTGGCCTCGCGCGCTTTTGTGCGGGACTGTGCTTTGCAGCCGTTGGAAAGGAGATGAAACTGATGGGAGGAATGGTGGCAGCCATTTTGATGGCTAATAACCTTTTAATGTCTCATAGTGTAATGAACGTGTTTTTACAGGTTTCTTATTTATTTATATTTTGTTTCAACAATGCCTGATATATGATGGAGAATTCATATTATCTCATTATTTCCTACTTTTGTTTATACTATCCTGTAAGAGGGACCTACTTAACGGAATAACTGCCCATAGACCTTAGCAGTGGCATTGTCATTCCTTTTAGTAGGTCTCTTGTAAGAGAGCCTCTGCTATACTGAGTAGAGCAAACCCCAGATGTTTAAAAAAAAAAAAAAAAAGTCAGAACACGAACACAGTTAGGCAACCTTCAGCACTCCAGAAGTCATTAACTACATCTTCCTAAATGCACATATAGCCATGATGCTGGCTATGCATCGTGGGAGATGTATTCTACATCATCTGGAGTGCCAAAGGTTGCCTAACTCTGAAATACAGGCTTGTATTTCTAATTGTAGAGTGCTCCTTTAAAGGGACACTGTAGGAACCCAGACTACTTCAGCTCATTGAAGTGGCCTGGGTACTAATTCCCATCACCCTTAACCCTGAGCATGTAATTATTGCTGTTTTTATAAACTGCAACAATTAACTACTAGGGTTAACTCCTCCACCCGGGTGCTTAGACGACTTTTGGACGCTGGATGTCCTCACGCCATGCATTAGTGGAATCCCCATAGGAAAGCATGAAATAATGCTTTCCTATGGGGAGATCCTAATACGAGCGTGGCCATTGCTGAGCATGCACATTAGGTCTCCCACGTTAGTGGGGCTGGGCCAGCGCCATGGGGGGAAGTGGGGGCCTGCCTTGGCAGAAGAGGACACTATAGTGCCAGGAAAATGTTTGTTTTCCTAGCACTATAGATCCCTTTTAAATGAATAAGCTTGAGCGTATGTAATTTGTTGATGGTTATTTGCTAAAGTTTGAATTGTAGCCTACATTTGTGTAATTCAGATTTCAAATTGGAAGTTTGGTGAGCATATTCCTGGAAATTAAAAAAAAATTATATATATTATTTTTGTTTCCTATTTTTTGGGGTTAACATTTTTAGAGAATTGTATAACTAAAGTAAATAACCCCCAGATTTACTGCCCTTCCCCCATTCATCCAGGATGGAGGGGGTAAATAGCTTTGTGAGAAGCTAATGACAATTGGATACTCAAGATCACTTGACATATGAATGGATAGATGCAATCATGGTGTGACTCTCCATTTATTATATGCTAATATTCCTTTTTTTCTCTACACCCATTTTTGTAGCTCTAATTTGAATGAGAAACTAGTAGCCACATTGAAATCTCAGGAACCCCTTGAAGGTGATGCCATTTTTTAGTAGTATCTCATCGTCTACACTTGTCCAGATGTAATTAAATGTAAATGCCTTCAAATATTCATACAACTACATGAAAATTTAGCTCATTGCAACTATTTAATTGTTGCAGTTATTCACTAAAATATGCAGTGTAAATTGTAAATACCTCTGTATTCCCATAATCTAAATTTAGTTAATTGTACATATAAATGACTAGAAGGTTTTATCACACTGTGAACTGTCTGGAATATACATGAGACATGCAAACTTAAATGGACACTATAGTACCAAAACAACCTTACCTTAATGAAACCGTTTTTGTGTATAGATTATGCCTCTGAAGTTTCACTGCAGTTGTACACTGTCTTTTCAACCATAATTCACCTTTTCCATATTAAGTGTACCAACACTTCTTTTATATAATTTTTTTTTCAGGAGAAACGGGGCTTTTATTTAAAATCAAATATTTATATATGAGTAAAATATAAAAAAGTTTGGGAAATTAAGAGATTTTTTTTTTTAGTGATACATGGAATGTTAACTATGAATGTTAATGCCGTCGGCTTTACTGCAATAAAATACACATATTTGTGTTCAAAAATATCTTGTGAGTACAACAGTACCTTCCAGGTAAAGATTTTCCAGGGTCAAATGTAGAACTTTTCAGTTTTTACACATTAAAATTTGCAAGATCGGCTTGCTGGGTCGATGTTGCTTTTGAGAAAATTACCTCTAATGGCATACCATTTGCAAAAGTATCGTCATTATCCGTGTTACTGCTCTAAAACACTCATTTATATTCAGCGATGTTTCACAAGTACAACAGTACCCTCCATGTACAGTTTTTATGGGGTTTTGGAAAGTTGTAGGGTTAAATATAGGACTTGCCCATTTCAGTTTTCCAGATTGGATTGCTGGCCATATGTTGCCTTTGAGACCATATGGCGGGCCAGGAATGAGAATTACTCCCATCATGGCATACCATTTGCAAAAGTAGACAGCCCAGGGTATTCAAGATGTGGTATGTAAAGGAGGAGACTATATTTAAAAGAAAAAAAAAACTGCCACAACAAGAGGACATAGTCTTAAATTAGAGGGACGAAGGTTTAAAAATATCAGGAAGTATTACTTTACTGAGAGGGTAGTGGATGCATGTAATAGCCTTCCATCTGAAGTGGTAGAGGTTAACACAGTAAAGGAGTTTAAGCATGCGTAGGATAGGCATAAGGCTATCCTAACTCTAAGATAAGGCCAGGGACTAATGAAAGTATTTAGAAAATTGGGCAGACTAGATGGGCCGAATGGTTCTTATTTGCCGTCACATTCTATGTTTCTATGTATGTCCACTATTTTTTAGGAGCCACTTAGTTTACATAATTTGTTGGGGGGTTTTTTTGTATTTTTTACACAAAACTGCACTTTTACTGATGATGATATTGTTTTTATATGTTTCACCGGTCTAGAACACTCATATTTGTGTTCAGTGATGTCTCAAGAGTACAACAGTACCCCCAATGTACAGGTTTAATGGGGTATTGAAAAGTTACAGTGTCAAATATAAGGCTTGCAAATTAAAGGGACACTATAGTCCCCAGAACAACTACAGCTTTTTGAATTTGTTCTGGTGAGTAGAATCATTCCCTTCAGGCTTTTTGCTGTAAACACTGTCTTTTCAGAGAAAATGCAGTGTTTACATTACAGCCTAGTGATAACTTCACTGCCACTCCTCAGATAGCTGTTAGAGATCCTTCCTGGGTCATGGCTGCCTAAAATGCATCCAAACATTCAGTGATTCCTCCCTCTGCATGCAGACACTGGACTTTTCTCATAGAGATTCATTGATTCAATTCATCTCTATGCAGGACCGGATTAACATAGGAACAGCAGCTCCAGCCCCAGGCCCATGGAATAGGCCCATTGATTGTAAAAAACACACTACTCTTAGGGTTGCCACCTGGCTGGTATTTATTTGAGTTTGCCGATATTGCAGTTATACCGGCAATACATATGCCGATATTTTTCTCAGTATAAACAGAAATTACTCTACAATACCAGCACCGGCCAGTAGTTGCTGTGTTTGTAGAGAGAGGCAGGGATAGGAAGTTACAGCATATACCTGCATCTCTCTACTCACTGATCCGTGGGGGAGCAGCTACACAGCACAGAGAGTCCAGACAGCAGCTCCCAGCCTGCAGAGACAGTCTACAGCTCAGGGAAGTGAGGGATGGGGTAAAGGCTGCAGGGAGACATTGGGACACTGAGAGACTAGGGGACACTGTAAAACATGGGGACACAAGGAGACCTCTTGGGACGCTGAGACATGGGGACACAGACACACGTGGGTACACTGAGACATAAGGACACTGAGACCTGGAAACACTGAGACACTAGGGGACGCTGGAAGACTTGGGGACACAGACACTTGGAGAAACAGACACACATGGGGACACTGAGACACTTGGGAACACTGGGATACATGAGGACAATGAGACACTAGGGACTCAATGTCCCTCAGTGTCCCCATGTCTCCCAGTCAGTGTATCAGTGTCCCCATGTCTCCTAGTGTCCACATGTCTCTGGCTCCTCTAGTGACATGGGGACACTGGGCAACATGGGGACACTGGGAGACATGGTGCACTGAGATACTGTGATACATAGGGACACTGTGTTCCTAAGTGTCCCCTAGTGACATGGGGACACTGGAAGAAATTGGGACACAGACACTAGGAGACACTGGGTGAGATGGGGACACAGGGAGACACTGGGAGCAATCCATCTATACAGCAGAATCAAACTGTATGTAGTTTTGGAGTGATTTCACAGAATATTCTCTTATGTCACTCCTTGTGATTTACATCATGTGATGCCACGATACATAAGTAGTTATGCAAATTAGTAAGACCTGTATTTTTTTTCCAAGAAAGGTGGCAATCCTACCTAGGGATCGACTGATTATCGGTTTTACTGATATTATTGGCCGATATTCGTTTTTTCCAGCAATATCAGTATCGGCCAATAGAGATACCGATATTGCCGATAATACCTCCTAGGACCGCCGGGCCCATTACAAGCCTGGAGGTCCTGGGGGGGCCCGCAGGAAGCTGTTACTTACCTCCCAGCAGCTCCTTCAGCTCCCTGTGTAAATCTCGCGAGGCCCGCGGCCACAGAGCTATACCATGGGTTACCATTGCAACGCTCCGCGGGCCCCCCAGTACTTAACAAGCCACCGGACCACCAGGGAATACTATATTTCCCCCCTCCCTGGTAAAAGCAAGGAAGGGGGACTAAAAATTTTTTTTAAAATATTAAAAAAAATAACTAAAATAAAATGCCCCCACCCATGTACACAAATTACATCTCTACACAAACACACACACTACACAAACACACACTGCATTATATACACACACACACTACACAAACACACACACACTCTGCATTATATACACTACACACACACTTCATTATATACACACTGCACACACACACTCTGCATTATATACACACTTCATCCACTCCATGTGGCATGTATATTTTGTGCATTTACCTTTAGAATTTAGTTTATTTTTTCAAAATGGTAAATGTACAGAATATCGGCAAGTTATCGGCTATCGGCCTGAAAAGTTCACAGATTATCGGTATCGGGTCTAAAAATCAATATCGGTCAATCCCTAATCCTAACTACTCTTCACATACTCTTGCTTAAGCATGGAAACTTAAGAGGGATATATGGAAGCAAAACTTGTGTGGACTAGCTGAAAGGAAATTAGTTAAGGTAATCCTGACTTTGGGCTCTCTAACACTGTGACATGTTCCCTTTCTTCTACACTCACTACATCCACCTTTTCTCTGTCCCAGACTGTATAGCAGGAGCTTCTGCCTGCTAGTAAGAAGGTAAGGAGACATGTGGACAAGTGTGTGCTAAGGGGACAGTCCTTAGTGTCAGAATATTTATATCAACAGACATTTTGTGCTAAAAAGAAATTAAAAGTGTATATTGCCACAGCCACTCAGAACAAAGCGGACTCCATTTTGCTATCTTCAGGATAACAAAACACATAACTATGCCATCTGCACTGTTGTACAGATCTAATTCCTCTTCAGCAGCCAGATCGCATAGACGTTTTCCAAAAAGAAGGGTGGATAGAGACAGAATTAATAACTCAAATATGCCTGTTTACAAAAATCAGCCAAAGGTTATTAAATTCCTTAAAGAGATAGTCCCACAATTTTCTAGAGGTTCAGGAAACATATCTGAACACCTGGAAAATTATGAAAGAGCCATGAATTCATTGGGCATGTATGATGAAATCCAAAAGAAATGGTTCATTACCTTTGATTCAATGTGCCATGTTTATCTAGAAAGTCTTCAAGATATACAGCTAATGTCCTGGTCCAAGATGAAATATGAAATAATCCTGGAATATGGTAAGTATAAAACCATTGCCTCTGCTAAGAAAGCGCTTTATAACTTAAAGTGCCGTCCAGATCAAAGCCCCATAGAATTTTTAATAATTCTTAAAAATGCATATTCCGTGGCCCAAAGGAAACCCAGGTATGAAAGTACAGACTTCAAA